TCAAACTTGTCTAGGTTATAAATTACTTCTTTGTGTTCTCTTATTTTTTTATTCTGCCTTTGGTGGGTATTTAAATAGTGACAAACTTGCCTAAACTACAATGTTATCAAAATAAATATTTTTCTTCAAAATTAAGTGTAAAGTAAACAGTTCAAACTGGGCATTGCGCTAAACTGTTCCTTGAATTTCTTTTGTTTTCATTATTATTTGTTGGCAGGGGTGCGAAACAGAAGCATAATTTTTGATACTTGAGTTTATCAGAGAACATTTTACTTTATTTTTTCACATTCTTAATTGATTGACACTGGACATTATTGACATCAGTATGACTAGATGAGATTGCACCTTGAACGATGGCAAGGGCTCATCCGTTCAAGCGATATGTCGTGGGTTTGAGTTTAGTAATTAGCCTCTCAAAAATGGGGGTAAGGCTATCTACCGTTTGCTCTCCTAGATGTCGCTATGGGAACAAGTAAGACATTTTTTTATTTGATGGATATTGAAGTTGACCTTGATTCATTACAAAACTGCTGCCATTTACCGGGTTGGTGCTAATTAACTATTATCGTAGTTCTACGGATATGAAAAACTTTTTTTTTATTTTGGGGTTTTTTATATAGAAACTTGCCTCTTGGCAACATATTGCATTGGAGGTTACACCATAAACATAATTTAGATAACATTAATCTGATTGGGAGGGAGGGAGTTGTTTTTCAAATTAAATGGAGTTTTTGAATAGAAGCCTGCAACGTGGCAACCTATAGTGTAAGAGGCTTACATTTTATACTGCATATGATGTTTACATTTATCTGCTTGAATTGTTGGACATGGACTTCAGTGTTTTTTCTCTTTTGGTGATGGAAATCATTGCTTTACATTGCAGTTCAGAGGACACTTCTGGCTTCATTGTTTCACTACTTTTTGGTCTTGGTCCGTTGCTTGGTGGCATTGTTCTTGTTGCATTTGCTCTTGCTTTTCATCTTCAGCATGCGCTTCTAACTGGTGTGGCCTCTGGCATTGCCTTTGTCCTTGGTGCCTGGAGACCACTGCAGCTACTTCTGTCTTTGAAGATGGGTTTTTCCCCCATTATGTTGCTTCTTGCCGTGGGATCTGCAGCTGTCCATATATCAACTTCCAGTGCTTTGAAGTTTGCAGGTCGCAAAAGGACTTCGGCGGATGCTTTATCCGCTGTGACAAGCTTGTCGGTTAGTGCCCTCACACTACAGTCATTCTTGTCTTGTGTTGCGGTTGCCCTCCATGCCCTTGCCGAGGGGCTGGCATTAGGAGTGGCTGCACCTAAAGCTTATGGACTTGGTCGGCACATGGTACTTCCTGTTTCATTGCACGGACTGCCTCGGGGAGCTGCTGTGGCTAGCTGCATTTTCGGAGCAACTGACAGCTGGCATGCATCCCTTGTAGCGGCTGCAATGATTGGTTTTGTCGGCCCATTATCCGCCATTGGAGCAATACTTGGGGGAATTGACTACAGTGGTCTGGACCATTTGATGGTGTTTGCATGTGGGGGATTGCTGCCTTGTTTTACGAGCATTGTCAGGAGAGCAGTGAAGTTAGATAAACGAAAGAGCATTTTTGGGCTCATTATGGGCGCGGCATTTGCCAGTATGTGCCTGACATGCACCAAGTTGGTTTGCTTGCACACATCTTATTGCAACTCTGCACCTGAGGCTGTCCGATGATAATTTTAGAGGCCTCACGGTGTAGTCATGGAATTGCAGTTGCATTTCTGAATGCAATTGAGACAGCCATGCTTTAGGCGTACGAGTTGTGGTACAAACACACTCTGATTATTGCAACTCTAGTATTGTATGACAGATCTGGAAAACTTGAGGACGAAGGGGAAAAATTCATGTGAGATATAAACATACCATGCAAAGAAAGGGAAATCATCAAATTGTTTGCACATTAGCTCCGTTTTGTTGAGTACAAGGGTGTTTCTTTACCTTTAACCAGGTGGGTAAACCCACTCATTATGTTCACTTCTTTTTTTATGTAAAAATAAGCCTGAATTTAAAAAAGCAATCTTGCTCTAAGGGTAGTATAATACTGAAACTTTGTTTTGCTGAATTTTAGTTTCATTTTACCTATCACAGTGACCCTCTAACCTTAGGGAAATTCATGGTCAAGTACAATATGCTGGTGTGATTATATTATTGAACTCTAATTTAAGTTTTTGGTGTACATTTTTTTTTCTTTTACTTGTGTTGTCTTCAAGTGTTTTGTATTTGAGTAATACTGTACAACTCAAATAAAATTTAAAAAGCGACAATCTAAATATATATCACCCCTTGGATGTCAGTCTCCCAACCTCTAAGGGGTTAGATGGTATCAGAGCAGGACTTACTGGTTTATAACCCAGCAGCTTCCTTGTTGGGATACTCACTTCAACCTCTCATTGCTTTTTTTGTGGTGTTCACAGACATACTTTTGACAATTGTCAACCCTTACCTCTACAATGCGTTGTTAATTAGTTATCCACCCGATCTACCCCATCTTATACTATTTTCTATTTATTTTTTAGTAGAACAGTTAAGGGTGTTCGGATTATTTTATGTGTATCTCGAGTAATTCTCTTTTCAGTTTGATNACTCTGCACCTGAGGCTGTCCGATGATAATTTTAGAGGCCTCACGGTGTAGTCATGGAATTGCAGTTGCATTTCTGAATGCAATTGAGACAGCCATGCTTTAGGCGTACGAGTTGTGGTACAAACACACTCTGATTATTGCAACTCTAGTATTGTATGACAGATCTGGGAAACTTGAGGACGAAGGGGAAAAATTCATGTGAGATATAAACATACCATGCAAAGAAAGGGAAATCATCAAATTGTTTGCACATTAGCTCCGTTTTGTTGAGTACAAGGGTGTTTCTTTACCTTTAACCAGGTGGGTAAACCCACTCATTATGTTCACTTCTTTTTTTATGTAAAAATAAGCCTGAATTTAAAAAAGCAATCTTGCTCTAAGGGTAGTATAATACTGAAACTTTGTTTTGCTGAATTTTAGTTTCATTTTACCTATCACAGTGACCCTCTAACCTTAGGGAAATTCATGGTCAAGTACAATATGCTGGTGTGATTATATTATTGAACTCTAATTTAAGTTTTTGGTGTACATTTTTTTTTCTTTTACTTGTGTTGTCTTCAAGTGTTTAGTATTTGAGTAATACTGTACAACTCAAATAAAATTTAAAAAGCGACAATCTAAATATATATCACCCCTTGGATGTCAGTCTCCCAACCTAAGGGGTTAGATGGTATCAGAGCAGGACTTACTGGTTTATAACCCAGCAGCTTCCTTGTTGGGATACTCACTTCAACCTCTCATTGCTTTTTTTGTGGTGTTCACAGACATACTTTTGACAATTGTCAACCCTTACCTCTACAATGCGTTGTTAATTAGTTATCCACCCGATCTACCCCCATCTTATACTATTTTCTATTTATTTTTTAGTAGAACAGTTAAGGGTGTTCGGATTATTTTATGTGTATCTCGAGTAATTCTCTTTCCAGTTTGATAAAAAATAAGTCATTTATATCAGAGTTAGGATATTTATTATGAATAAATTGTTCATGATTTAACTTTAAAAGATTGCTACAATTTGAATTTTGGATGTTTATATTTATAACTCATCTATTTTACCTTATCCCTAGGAGATCATCATATACTTTTTTCAATCGAGTTAATATTGACATAGCTGGAATGTTAGGATGTATCGCAAATTGTCACAAAAATTATAATTTGACTCAAAAAATTATATTTAAAACTTTAAAAATTTTAACTTGACCCAAAAAATTATAAATAAATTACAAAATTTATATTAAAATTCATAAAAATTATAAATTTTAAAGTTACAATATCGATAAATAAATTTGGGGAATTCTACGATACCAATCTCGATACCGTACATTTGATTACTATTTTTTTTGGTAAAATTATATCTCATAACGGAGAAGTTACAACTGTTCAAGGAAGAGCATGATCGATCATGAACTTTTCCTAAACAGTTGTAACTTCTTTTTTATAAGTTATAATTTGACTTTTAAAAATTATAATTCAGTATCAATCTTAATCTATTATAATCGATCATAATTTTTAAAAATTATAATTTAAACTGGCGGTACAGTACTTCTTTCGATATCATATAATTCCCCAAAAACTTTTTGTACCACAGCTTTGTCCTTATAATAACGTCACCAGACAGGACACGTGAAGCAATCAAATCCAAATATTTTTTTGGACAAGGCTACGGTACATCAAAGAGGATTTTCGGTATGGTATCAAAAATTCAATGTCTACCGTAAATTCATCTAATAATAAAAGTGAACTGTTGATTAATGTTTCTTTCCAATTTTTTTTTTCAAAGAGGAACCAATTATCTGTTGGATACCGATTGATAAACAAGATAAGACATTGAAATAATATGTCAGATAGTACATCATGATGATTACTAATAATTTTATTAAAATATAATACAATGTTGTTACCATAACGAAGAGAATATTTACAATTTCAATGGATTATTTACTAAATTTGTATGAATATTTACAAGTGCAATGGATTCATTACCACATTTATGGCAATATTTACAACTTCAATGAATTATTTTCGACATTTATGAAAATATTTATAACTTCAGTGGATTGTTTACCACATTTGTGTAAATAATTACTACATTCAAGGTTTTGTTATTATAATGAAGGTAATAATTACGAGAGTTGTCCATTTTTTTTACGAGAGTTGTACTTAATTTGTAAATAATTTATAAGTAATCGAAGAAGATATACCAGCTTTGTGGACAAAATTACTAGTAGAGAACAATATTTACTAATTTAATGGTATTTTTTATGATATTTATTAGTCTATGATCGATCATTAAATATGATCGCTCGATCAGAATGCACNTGGCAACCTATAGTGTAAGAGGCTTACATTTTATACTGCATATGATGTTTACATTTATCTGCTTGAATTGTTGGACATGGACTTCAGTGTTTTTTCTCTTTTGGTGATGGAAATCATTGCTTTACATTGCAGTTCAGAGGACACTTCTGGCTTCATTGTTTCACTACTTTTTGGTCTTGGTCCGTTGCTTGGTGGCATTGTTCTTGTTGCATTTGCTCTTGCTTTTCATCTTCAGCATGCGCTTCTAACTGGTGTGGCCTCTGGCATTGCCTTTGTCCTTGGTGCCTGGAGACCACTGCAGCTACTTCTGTCTTTGAAGATGGGTTTTTCCCCCATTATGTTGCTTCTTGCCGTGGGATCTGCAGCTGTCCATATATCAACTTCCAGTGCTTTGAAGTTTGCAGGTCGCAAAAGGACTTCGGCGGATGCTTTATCCGCTGTGACAAGCTTGTCGGTTAGTGCCCTCACACTACAGTCATTCTTGTCTTGTGTTGCGGTTGCCCTCCATGCCCTTGCCGAGGGGCTGGCATTAGGAGTGGCTGCACCTAAAGCTTATGGACTTGGTCGGCACATGGTACTTCCTGTTTCATTGCACGGACTGCCTCGGGGTGCTGCTGTGGCTAGCTGCATTTTCGGAGCAACTGACAGCTGGCATGCATCCCTTGTAGCGGCTGCAATGATTGGTTTTGTCGGCCCATTATCCGCCATTGGAGCAATACTTGGGGGAATTGACTACAGTGGTCTGGACCATTTGATGGTGTTTGCATGTGGGGGATTGCTGCCTTGTTTTACGAGCATTGTCAGGAGAGCAGTGAAGTTAGATAAACGAAAGAGCATTTTTGGGCTCATTATGGGCGCGGCATTTGCCAGTATGTGCCTGACATGCACCAAGTTGGTTTGCTTGCACACATCTTATTGCAACTCTGCACCTGAGGCTGTCCGATGATAATTTTAGAGGCCTCACGGTGTAGTCATGGAATTGCAGTTGCATTTCTGAATGCAATTGAGACAGCCATGCTTTAGGCGTACGAGTTGTGGTACAAACACACTCTGATTATTGCAACTCTAGTATTGTATGACAGATCTGGANGCTTGAATTGTTGGACATGGACTTCAGTGTTTTTTCTCTTTTGGTGATGGAAATCATTGCTTTACATTGCAGTTCAGAGGACACTTCTGGCTTCATTGTTTCACTACTTTTTGGTCTTGGTCCGTTGCTTGGTGGCATTGTTCTTGTTGCATTTGCTCTTGCTTTTCATCTTCAGCATGCGCTTCTAACTGGTGTGGCCTCTGGCATTGCCTTTGTCCTTGGTGCCTGGAGACCACTGCAGCTACTTCTGTCTTTGAAGATGGGTTTTTCCCCCATTATGTTGCTTCTTGCCGTGGGATCTGCAGCTGTCCATATATCAACTTCCAGTGCTTTGAAGTTTGCAGGTCGCAAAAGGACTTCGGCGGATGCTTTATCCGCTGTGACAAGCTTGTCGGTTAGTGCCCTCACACTACAGTCATTCTTGTCTTGTGTTGCGGTTGCCCTCCATGCCCTTGCCGAGGGGCTGGCATTAGGAGTGGCTGCACCTAAAGCTTATGGACTTGGTCGGCACATGGTACTTCCTGTTTCATTGCACGGACTGCCTCGGGGTGCTGCTGTGGCTAGCTGCATTTTCGGAGCAACTGACAGCTGGCATGCATCCCTTGTAGCGGCTGCAATGATTGGTTTTGTCGGCCCATTATCCGCCATTGGAGCAATACTTGGGGGAATTGACTACAGTGGTCTGGACCATTTGATGGTGTTTGCATGTGGGGGATTGCTGCCTTGTTTTACGAGCATTGTCAGGAGAGCAGTGAAGTTAGATAAACGAAAGAGCATTTTTGGGCTCATTATGGGCGCGGCATTTGCCAGTATGTGCCTCACATGCACCAAGTTGGTTTGCTTGCACACATCTTATTGCAACTCTGCACCTGAGGCTGTCCGATGATAATTTTAGAGGCCTCACGGTGTAGTCATGGAATTGCAGTTGCATTTCTGAATGCAATTGAGACAGCCATGCTTTAGGCGTACGAGTTGTGGTACAAACACACTCTGATTATTGCAACTCTAGTATTGTATGACAGATCTGGAAAACTTGAGGACGAAGGGGAAAAATTCATGTGAGATATAAACATACCATGCAAAGAAAGGGAAATCATCAAATTGTTTGCACATTAGCTCCGTTTTGTTGAGTACAAGGGTGTTTCTTTACCTTTAACCAGGTGGGTAAACCCACTCATTATGTTCACTTCTTTTTTTATGTAAAAATAAGCCTGAATTTAAAAAAGCAATCTTGCTCTAAGGGTAGTATAATACTGAAACTTTGTTTTGCTGAATTTTAGTTTCATTTTACCTATCACAGTGACCCTCTAACCTTAGGGAAATTCATGGTCAAGTACAATATGCTGGTGTGATTATATTATTGAACTCTAATTTAAGTTTTTGGTGTACATTTTTTTTTCTTTTACTTGTGTTGTCTTCAAGTGTTTAGTATTTGAGTAATACTGTACAACTCAAATAAAATTTAAAAAGCGACAATCTAAATATATATCACCCCTTGGATGTCAGTCTCCCAACCTCTAAGGGGTTAGATGGTATCAGAGCAGGACTTACTGGTTTATAACCCAGCAGCTTCCTTGTTGGGATACTCACTTCAACCTCTCATTGCTTTTTTTGTGGTGTTCACAGACATACTTTTGACAATTGTCAACCCTTACCTCTACAATGCGTTGTTAATTAGTTATCCACCCGATCTACCCCATCTTATACTATTTTCTATTTATTTTTTAGTAGAACAGTTAAGGGTGTTCGGATTATTTTATGTGTATCTCGAGTAATTCTCTTTTCAGTTTGATCAAAAATAAGTCATTTATGTCAGAGTTAGGATATTTATTATGAATAAATTGTTCATGATTTAACTTTAAAAGATTGCTACAATTTGAATTTAGGATGTTTATATTTATAACTCATCTATTTTACCTTATCCCTAGGAGATCATCATATACCTTTTTCAATCGAGTTAATATTGACATAGCTGGAATATTAGGATGTATCGCAAATTGTCACAAAAATTATAACTTGACTCAAAAAATTATATTTAAAGCTTTAAAAATTTAACTTGACCCAAAAAATTATAAATAAATTACAAAATTTATATTAAAATTCATAAAAATTATAAATTTTAAAGTTACAATATCGATAAATAAATTTGGGGAATTCTACGGTACCAACCTCGATACCGTACATTTAATTACTATTTTTTTTGGTAAAATTATAATTCATAACGGAGAAGTTACAACTGCTCAAGGAAGAGCATGATCGATCATGGACTTTTCCTAAGCAGTTGTAACTTCTTTTTTATAAGTTATAATTTGATTTTTAAAAATTATAACTCAGTATCATTCTTAATCTATCATAATCGATCATAATTTTTAAAAATTATAATTTACGTATCAAAAAAATTATAATTTAATCTTAAATGAGAGTAACTGGCGGTACAGTACTTCTTTCGATATCATATAATTCCCCAAAAACTTTTTGTACCACAGTTTTGTCCTTATAATAACGTCACCAGACAGGACACGTGAAGCAATCAAATCCAAATATTTTTTTGGACAAGGCTACGGTACATCAAAGAGGATTTTCGGTATGGTATCAAAAATTCAATGTCTACCGTAAATTCATCTAATAATAAAAGTGAACCGTTGATTAATGTTTCTTTCCAATTTTTTTTTTCAAAGAGGAACCAATTATCTGTTGGATACCGATTGATAAACAAGATAAGACATTGAAATAATATGTCAGATAGTACATCATGNTTGCAACTCTGCACCTGAGGCTGTCCGATGATAATTTTAGAGGCCTCACGGTGTAGTCATGGAATTGCAGTTGCATTTCTGAATGCAATTGGGACAGCCATGCTTTAGGCGTACGAGTTGTGGTACAAACACACTCTGATTATTGCAACTCTAGTATTGTATGACAGATCTGGGNTTGTTACCATAACGAAGAGAATATTTACAATTTCAATGGATTATTTACTAAATTTGTGTGAATATTTACAAGTGCAATGGATTCATTACCACATTTATGACAATATTTACAACTTCAATGAATTATTTTCGACATTTATGAAAATATTTATAACTTCAGTGGATTGTTTACCACATTTGTGTAAATAATTACTACATTCAAGGTTTTGTTATTATAATGAAGGTAATAATTACGAGAGTTGTCCATTTTTTTTACGAGAGTTGTACTTAATTTGTAAATAATTTATAAGTAATCGAAGAAGATATACCAGCTTTGTGGACAAAATTACTAATAGAGAACAATATTTACTAATTTAATGGTATTTTTTACGATATTTATTAGTCTATGATCGATCATTAAATATGATCGCTCGATCAGAACGCATAGATTTGTGCTTAATTTATGAATAATTTACAACTAACCCAAGAAGATATACAACTTTAATGAATTATTTACCAATTTTACGGGAATATTTACAACTTCAATAAATTCTTGAAAGAAATATTTATAACTTTAGTGGATTGTTTACCAAATTTGTGAGAATATTTACAAGTGCAATGGATTTCTTACCACATTTATGACAATATTTACAACTTCAATGAATTTTTTACAACATTTATGAAAATATTTACAACTTCAGTGAATTGTTTACGACATTTGTGTAAATAATTACTATATTAAAGGTTTTGTTACTATAATGAAGGTAATAATTACAAGAGTTGTGAATGTTATTTACGAGAGTTGTGAATATTTTTTACGAGAGTTGTACTTAATTTGTAAATAATATACAAGTAATCGAATAAGATATACCAATTTTGTGGACAAAATTACTAGTGGAGAGCAGTATTTACTAATTCAATGGTATTTTTTACGATATTTACTAGTCTATGATTGATCATTAAATATGATCAATCGATCAGAATACACAGATGTGTGCTTAATTTATATGAATAATTTACAAATAATTTAAGAAAATATATAACTTTAATGGATTATTTACTAATTTTATGGGAACATTTACAACTTCAATAGATTCTTTATGAGAATATTTACAACTTTAGTGGATTGTTTACCAAATTTGTGAGAATATTTACAAGTGCAATAGATTTCTTACCATATTTATGACAATATTTACAACTTCAATGAATTTTTTACAACATTTATGAAAATATTTACAACTTCAGTGAATTGTTTACGACATTTGTGTAAATAATTACTATATTAAAGGTTTTGTTACTATAATGAAGGTAATAATTACAAGAGTTGTGAATGTTATTTACGAGAGTTGTGAATATTTTTTACGAGAGTTGTACTTAATTTGTAAATAATATACAAGTAATCGAATAAGATATACCAATTTTGTGGACAAAATTACTAGTGGAGAGCAGTATTTACTAATTCAATGGTATTTTTTACGATATTTACTAGTCTATGATTGATCATTAAATATGATCAATCGATCAGAATACACAGATGTGTGCTTAATTTATATGAATAATTTACAAATAATTTAAGAAAATATATAACTTTAATGGATTATTTACTAATTTTATGGGAACATTTACAACTTCAATAGATTCTTTATGAGAATATTTACAACTTTAGTGGATTGTTTACCAAATTTGTGAGAATATTTACAAGTGCAATAGATTTCTTACCATATTTATGGCAATATTTACAACTTCAATGAATTTTTTATGACATTTATGGAATTATTTACAACTTCAGTGGATTGTTTACCACATTTTTGTAAATAATTACTATATTAAAGGTTTTGTTATTATAATGAAGGTAATAATTATGAGAGTTGTCAATTTTTTTTACAAGATTTGTGAATGTTTTTACGAGAGTTGTACTTAATTTGTAAATAATTTACAACTAATCGA